TTAAAAAAAAGCAAACAAAACAAACAAAATAAAACAAAAAAAAAAAAAAAAAAAAAAAAAACTTTCGGATTATTTTTTGTAAAATTGTCCTAAATTTTGAAAATTTTCATACTTTTTACAAAGATTTCATACAAAAGTTAAGTCAAATTTATCATATTGTTTATTGGTGCTACGTATATCACATAAGTATTACCTGAAAAACGGCATAATTCGGTCAAATAAACTCCCATTTAAGCTGATTATTTCTAAATGTATCGATCTGAAGCAAAAGGTGCTACAAGGAAATTATGATAATTTCCATCTGTTGGCCTTTAACCATAAAAAGCATCCAATTACCGCTGTTTCTGTATGTCATGACTAAATGCGCGGGGCTTGCAGGATTACCAATTGTGTTGCCTAAGCAAACCAAAAATTAGTAAAGAAAGTCATCGCTATCCAATTATATGAATATAAGTACTGTAATATTAATATGTATTGTATTCAAATTTATACCGATAAACTTTCTTTAAAGAATACTATTCAATATTTTCTTACTCCAAAAAGTCTGTGACTTTTGTCGGGTTATTTATTACAATCTTTTTTTATAACATATTTTTCGTTATTTTCAACGAACCCTTCTTAATTTTTCCTAAAAATCATCCCCTTCGGTTATCTTCTTTTAACACCTTCTTTTCACGATATTTTTTTAAAAAAAAATCATCAAAATTACTCGTTAGATACTTTTTAATCTGAGATACCGAAACTTAACCGAATTGATTTTCGATTATTGCTTATGATTTGACAGCTTTTTTCGTAAAATTTTGTCAAATATGAGTTCTCAATACCAGCAAAAATCATCCGATAGAAAAAGAGCTAATCCATTGATAGATTTAGTAGAAACTGAAAAACAATATATAGCTGATTTGAGATGTTTGCTACAGGTTTATAATATTTCTTTGGTACTTTGTAAAATTGTTATCGCCCGTTAAAAAAAAATTTTTTTTTTTTTTTTTATGCAGAGGGTTACATCATGTTGGAGCTCCGAAGATCTTCCTCCACCTGAATTGGATGCAATGTTTCGTGTTATTGAAGAAATTTTTAAAAGAAACAAAAAATTTTATTCTGTAAGCATTAATATTTTTTTAAGAGTTATATATTTCACTTTTTTTATTTATTTATTTTTTTTTTCTCGTATTAATTTGATTGATTGATTGACTTGCATTAAATAGAAATTGTCAAAACTTGGCGCATCCCCTCAATCAGCCAAGGAAATTGGAGATGTGTTAATGGCCTGGGTAATTTATTTTTTAGAATAATTGTTTTTTCTTTTTGCTTATAATATTAATTTTTATCTATCAAATAGATAGATGAAATGGAAGTGCCATACACAAATTATTGTAACCAATATTGTCAAGGCTTTGATGATAGGAGGGATATTGAAGAAAACTTGATTTTACAGCAGGTTTTAAATGTAATTATTTGATTATTATTTTTATTTTTTTTTCATTAAATTTCTTTCATGAAATTTCATATTTTTTTTTGTGGTATATTTCTCTATTTTAGGATATTTCTGCCGAAACGAATCAGCCAGTATCTTTGGATTACTTTTTTGATGTTCCGATTAAGAGGTTACATTATTATAAAAAATTGTATATGGTTGGTATCTTTCTTCTTTTATTATCTTTGAATTAAATAATAACTTTGAACATGAGTTAATTTTATTGGTTTTTTTTTTTATACTTCTTTCATTTGGTATTTTATTATGTTCATAGACTTTATTTTGAATTGTATTCATTATAACGATATGTTCATAATTTTTTTATCCTCCCTTTTTACGTCATTAGGTGTTATTTTTGATTTTTTTACTTTGCTAGATATACAGATATTCAGTATTTGGATAAATTATAATATCCAAAATTTTTTTTCCGTGCGTGATATAGAGATAGAATTAATTTTTTTTTTTTTTTTACATGGTCTTGTGATAATAAGTTAGGTTTTTCTACCTATACTATTATTATTATTTATACAAAAAAAATAAAAAATAAAAAAAAATAAAAATAAAAAAGAGATAAAAACCTCAAGGTCGATTTTTCTTCATATTTCGCTATAAGGCTATATATACAAACTGGTCAAAATTTGCAAATCTTTGAAGAAAAATTTGGATGTTCTATAGAATAGGTGAGCAATATAAGAAATAAGCTTCGCTAATGATTAGTAATCATTAATCGTTTAATTATATTAAGCGGAGTTTGCTCACCTATTCTATATAACATCCACTTCTATTTAAAATATCAGATATCTGATATTTTATAATAGATTATAGTTGTTAGGCGAAACTGTTTTACAAAAATGGCGAAAGACGAAACCTAAACCCAAAAAAGGCGAAACTGACGAAACTTTGGCGAAAGATGAAACCCCTGATGAAAACGAAACGACTGGTATCTGAACTTTAATAAAGGCGAAGCTAAAGGAGATAAACAAAAAAATAATTTCATTAACTATATATTGTTTTGAAAAATTAAATAGTTAGTTTTTTAAACTCTGAACGAAGACATCTCGCCAACTATCTAATCAAATTCAATGAAATTTTTTTATTTAGTTCGAAAAGCACAGAAATACTCAAAGCTATTAAATACAATACTGTAATTTAAGATTACTAAATTAATAATCACATCAAAAAAAAAAAATTCATCAAACATACATAAACTCACTTTGTCATATTTATTAAATAATTTAATATTCAATATGAAATTCGTTAGGAAAAGATTGAAGAATTTTGAAAAAAAAACTTCGTAAACCAATGCTCCAACTTATTTTAGAAGATCACTAAAGCGGAGTTAGGGTTAGAGCGTCTTTTTAATGTAGTTGGTTATAAATATCAAGAACACAATTATGCAATATATATATTAAATTAACTTCGCTTTAGATGACCCATATTAGTTGAAATCATAAAATTACGCATCAGGTATTTTTCAGAACCACTTTTAATAAAAGTTGACAGAATATTAATGATAAATTTTCAAAAAGCAATCATTCAAAGTTTGAATTATATTGTTTAAGGCAGTTCGTATTTGATTAATCATTTATGTAAAGTGATATAAAAATTTTTTAATCAGGAATACCAAGACCTGTTTTATTTATAAACCAAATTTTAAACTATCCGATTGATACGATAAATAATTACTTTTTAATAAAAATGGTAAAATTTTTTTGTACTGTATTAATAGCAATTTAAGACACCAGATAGTTATATTTTGTTCAAAAGGGGAATGAATAGACCCAATATTATTAACATAAACTTTATTACATATTATCGCCCAAATTACAAAATGATGTACAAAATCTCAAATTCCTCCCAAATAAATATTTTTAAACTAATATGTAAATATAGTATACACTAATTTGCAATTTTTATTTTCTCAAAGTATATGAGAATTTTTTTTTTTTTTTTTTTTTTTTAACCTGTTAATTTCACTCAGTATAACCAATTATAAATTAATAAATAATTAATTAATTATAAGCAAGTGAATATGCAGGATTTATATTAAATTAAGAAATAAATTTCACAGCTTGTTCCCATAAATTACTAGGACTAAGAATACTTTCATCATCGTAATATATTCTATAATCAGCAGGACGATATTGAAATTCATTTATCTGATCAGGTTTATCCAAATCATGAGTTTCACTAAAAGTAAATGTAGATGTGAACATATCAATGTCAGTTGCAAAATTTTTTGGTATTTGAGGAGCGGTATCAGTGGTGTTACTTATGATAAGATTAATTTGATTGTAAAAACTATTTACAGCTACAACATTTCCACCTGGGAATGAGGAGTATGACATACTAGTATTATATAAACCACCAACAGCAACTGTAGCTATTTTAGCTTGTTCTGATAGATATTGAGCAGTCTGTGCGCATGATGATGAACATGCACCATTAGTAAGTATAATAATGTCCTTATTTTTCCATGGTGATTGCCAATTTGATAAAGCAGATTCATCGAATATATCAACGAAAAGGTTGGAGAAATTGGATGTCACACCACCTCTTGTAAATTTATTGTTACCAATAAATTCACTAGCATTACCAAATGGTTTTCCAGTAGTAAACGACTGTTCTTGATTAGGTGAAAAATTTATTGTATTAGCACCAAGACCTAATTTATCTGCTTGTTCAATAAGGAATGTTGTAACATCATTCATCCTAATGTCACGTGGAAATGCAAAATTTTTTTGACGTAAAAAAATCTCATTAAAGAATTGTGCAAGAGGTACGAATCCACCTCCGTTACTAATAAAATCTATAACAAGCTGCGTAATAATAAAAAAAAAAAAAAATACAGTATATTAAAATTAAATCTATATAAAAATAATAAGATTTCATATAAAATAGATTACATACTTTTTTTACACCGGTTTGAACAAATTGATTCATTGCATCTATAAGAGCAGCTTGAAATGCGATCTGATCAGTTGCATAGCTTGAAGGTAAAAAATTTGGTACTACAATAATACCAGTATCATTTTTTTTAAAGAATATCGTAAAATTTTGAAGGTTATTAGTTTGATTTCCATCAACTACAGTATTAACAATTTCAGATGCTAAATTTAATTTCGAAATTGAATTTGAATTTGAATTTTGAGTAGTAGATTGTTGAGTATTTGATACGAGACACATAGACTGAAAATAACTATTAGAATCAGTATAATTAAAAGTATTAGTACTATTATTACTAAGTATCCTCCAAGGTCGCGTTAATGTTTTTTTCGAACCATTACAATTGAGTTTATAAGTAATACTATCTGTTTCCGGTAATATTAAACGTCTGGTAAACAAACTCGAACTTATAAAATTCGTATTTAATTCAAATATACCATTAAAAAATCTAAGTGACGCTAATGCCATGTTAAATCTTACACCAAGATCACGCGAATTTTTTATATGTTTATCGGCAAATGTTTTAATAGCTTCTAATGCAGGGGTGCCGTCAATATGCGTAACCTCACATCTATCATTAGAGGAATCTAAATCATCTTGGAGTATTTTAATAACCTATAATTTTAATTTAATTAAGAATTAATGATATCATTTAATTAATATAAATTAAAATTAATTATTTAATATAAATTAAAATTAATTAATTAATTAATATGAATTAATTTATTTATTTATTAATTTATAAATTATATTAATTAATTAATTAATAATAAATTATTTTGTCATTCTATTTTACCTGAGTTCCATGACAATCGACCGTTGAATAGAGCCAGATGTCTTGGAAAAAGAAAAATGCGCTATAACAAGAAGGTGTAAAAGTGGTATGGCCGTCTTTAAGATCAACGTGGAGTTGAACGACATCAGACTGTTATAATTTTAAGTGATAAATAAAAAAATTCTATTAATAAATAATTAAAATATATACATATATTGAGAGAATAATGTAACTTACAAAAAAATCGTAATCGGTAGTATAATTTTTCTTAAGTATATTATCAAGTTCGGAAATCAAATCAATAGATCTAAATTTAAAGCCCTGCGCTGCAGGCTCCTTTGCTTCATCCAAGAATATGTAAAAATCTTTATATATTCCTTTAAGTGATTCAATAACCTGTAATTAAATCAATAAAATTTTAGATTTAAATTTTAATATAATTAATTGTTAATTTAATTTTAATAATTAACTTACTTCAGTAGCCCGCTGAAGATTAAAAGGAAAGCCCATGTAACAACTTTTAACATCCTCATAATTAATAGTCAAAGTCGTATTACTATTTGACGATGATACAAAACTTTGATGAAGATTAGCACACCCATCTGATGCATCTCTCTTTCGAAGAGGGATAGCAACTGTAAAACTTCCAGAGATAGTGAGTACTAATATTAAAAAAATGAGAATCCGGACTTTATAAAAGTTGTTCATGGTTTTATCTTAGTTCAAAATTCTAAATTAATAATATTCATAAAGAAAAAAAAATTTTAGTACTTCCGGTTTATTTTTCTAGATCCTTTTTATAATTCTAAAGTATAAATTTTCGGTCATGAAACAAAAATAGCTAGTATATTTTTATTTATAAAACTGTTAGCCAACAATAGTAAATTGTTTAAATATAGTGATTTTTAATTTAAAAAATAGGCTCACATTTTTAAATTAGTTGCTTTTCATTACCAAATTTGTATGTTCTTAAGTACGTGTAAGTACATAATTTATAGGCTGCACATTGCTTACCAATAGACAAAGGACAATTTATTGTATTCTACGTAGAGAATAATGTTCAACGTTACAAATTATTGTCGCTCATTTGTAGGCTATCGACTATCAATCAACAAATAAGTAAAGATCAACAAAAAACCGGTTTTTAAGTTAATTAATGCAAAACTTGATTCAAAGTTTAGGAGTTTCCCGTTTCAAAATTAGAACAAATTAGGTGTAACGGTAAAAGAAAATGCTTTAACCCTTGTTTCCAAAAAAATGAAAATTTAACGTTAAATCAAATATTGCTCTTTTTGTAATGTGCAATAATGAGCTACGCAATAAGGAAAACATTCATTTTATTATTGATAAAACAAAAAAACTATTACGTACTATTACGTAGTTGGTGGCAAAATTTTATTTATAAATCAATGTCATAATCCACACAGCCGAATGCCGCATTGCCTCACATACTTCCAATTTGCACTTCTTTAATTTTTCTACAAACTGTACGGTACATTTTACTCCTAACATTTAGGCAGGTACACTTTCTTGAAGTTACAGAGCTTAAAAACATATTCTAATTATTTACGTTTATATTTATTTCAAACACTACGTATTATTTTATATTCACAATATTCACAAGTAAATTTTCCTGTAAACGTCGTACATCAGGGGTGGTAACCAATAATACACTTTTTAAATAAAATTTTTCCTTGTGTAATTTTGCTACCTTATAACCTACAGCTTTGTATATTTCTTGTCGCAACGGTATTTGCTTACAAGTATTATGGCCTTGTATAACTAACGTTGTTCGATGACTTTCTTAATATAGTATTAAAACGGTTACGTAGTAAAAATTTGTATACGTATAGTTTTTTGTTATGTTCAATTAAGCTAATTGGTTGTATATTATTAAAATTGCTATCGAAAATTGGTATTTTAGAAATAGAATAGATGTAACTATCTTTCTATTGTTTGAGGATTTGGGTACTAATTAAAGATATATTAAGTCGGTGCCGCTCACTTCACCGACAGTCATTTCACCGAAAGTTCATTTAGCCGACATCACATGGGGTTAGGGTTAGTTTCAGGTATAAATTTTTAGTAAATTGTCACTTGGCGTGATGAGCTGTCGATGAAATGATTGTCGGTGAAATGATACGGATCCATATTAAGTAACTACTGTAGTAGATGTGAGTAGAATAGCTAAGTTTAAGAAAAAGCAAGCAGAATCTTAATTAGGTTATACAAAATAATTTTTTTGGTTTTTATAATATAAAATTTTAAAAGACCTAATAATTTGGCTTTTTTTTTTAACTTTTATATATAAAAATTATATAAAATTTTTTAAAAAAACTCATCTGGTTATTATAATATAAAAAAAAAGTTTCAAAAGTTTTAAAATTTTAATTCAGTTAGGTTATGTAAATCAAGAAAATTTTTTTATATTCTTTTAGTTTTACTAAACATTTTTGAAAATAATCTTTAGAAATTCTGATATAAAGTTATAATAGAATATAAAAAGAAAACAATAACCTATCTAAGAAAAAATATATATATATAAATAATTTAAAAAAGTTATTTAATTTCTGTTAATTAATAGAGAATTATAATTTGGTGCACTATGCACCATGGCATACCCCTAATTACTGGGTATATAAACAGTAATCATCAAATAAGTATTATCTATTGTGTTTTTTTTTTTTTTGATGTTTAACTAATGTCTTTTTTTTTAGATAGGTTTCTCTTGTTTTTTTGGAATCAAGGTTTCTGTTTTGGGTGTTGTTTTATTTTTTCATGTTTTTAGATAGATTTCTCTTGTTTTTTTTAGAATTAGGCTTCCAGTTTTCTTCATATTCTCAGGTTTGTTTTATTTGTCTTGTTCAACTAATACCTATTTTTTTTTTAGTTAGGTCTCACTTGTTTTCTTAAAATCAAGGCTTTCGTTTAGGTATTGTTTCATTTTTTCATATTCTAAGGTAGGTTTCTCTTGTCTTTTTAAAATTAGGCTTTTAGTTTTGGTCATTAATTTCATTTTTTTTTGTGTTTTTAGAAGGGTTTTACTTGTCTTTATGTTCACTAATACCTATTTCTTTTTCAAGTAGATCTTACTTGTCTTGAGTTTGAGCTTCTGATTTTGGATATCATTTTATTTTCTTCACATTCTCAGGTAGGTTTATCTTGTCTTCTTAAAATTAGGTTTCCAGTTTTGGTTATTGATTTCATTTTTGTTATATTCTTAGAAGAGTTTTTATTTGTCTTCATGTTTACTAATATCTATTTTTTTTTTAAGTAGATTTCACTTGTTTTGAGTCAAAGCTTCTGATTTTAAGTATTATTTTATTTTTTTCATATTCTTAGATAGGTTTCTCTTGTCTTCTTAAAATCAGGCTTCTAGTTTTGGTCATTAATTTTATTTTTTTGTATTTTTAAGAGGGTTTTACTTGTTTTCATGTTCAACTAATGCTTATTTTTTTTTCAAATAGGTCTTACTAGACTTGAAATTAGGACTTCTGATTTTGGGCATTTTTTTATTTTCTTCATATTCTTAGATAGGTTTTGCTTATCTTCTTTAAATGTTTAACTAATGTCTATTTTTTTTCAAATTTGTTATACTTGTTTTCTTGGAATTAGACTTATAGTTTTGTTTCTTTGTGTTCTAGTAATTATATTTGTTTTCTTAGAATTAGGCTTCTGCTCTTTGTTATTTTTTTTATTTCTTTATATTCAACTAATGCCTATTTTATTTTTCAGGTTAGTTTTACTTGTCTTGGAATTAGGCTTTTAGTTTTAGATGTTTTTTCATATTCTAAAATGAGTTTTATTTGTTTTTTTATAATTAAACTTTTGTTCTTTGTTGTTGTTTTAGCTTTTTTATATTCAACCAATGCTCATTTTATTTTTCAGATTAATTTTGCTTATCCTCTTGAAATTAGGCTTTTAGTTTTAGGTATTTCTTTATATTTTCAAATAGGTTTCATTTGTCTTTTTGAAATTAGGCTTTTGCTTTTTGTTATTGTTTTCATTTCTTCATATTCAACTAATATTACTTTTTTCTTGGAATTAGACTTATAGTTTTGTTTCTTTGTGTTCTAGTAATTATATTTGTTTTCTTAGAATTAGGCTTCT